AGCTATGAAATAGTGAAATAATAAGGTTGTAGCTAATCTGTAGTAAAATAGCTAGAAAACTAATATTTTTGTAGTTATTCCCTCACTTAACAGAAAAATAATTTAACTAGGAAAATTTTTGTTACTAATCTCTCGCTATAAATATTATCTATGTTACTTTTTGAAACTATTTCTTAGCTAAATTGTGTAACATACAATTATAGTTAAACTTTAACAAATTTACAGCAACTATCAAATTGAAAAAAAAATATTAAATTATTGGGAACCATTCTTATAAATTATTTTAGTTTTATAAAAATTATTTATAAAAAATACTTGTAAATATCTCTAAAAATATATAATTATAAAAAATAATTTTTTATCTTTTTGAAAAAATACCAATAAAAATTAATTACAATTTTTTCTTAAAAAATTATTTTTACCAAATTTACTATAAATATATAATTATATATATAAATTATTTTTTGTATCTAAAATAAATTATTTGGAAATAATTATAATTTTTTTGAAAAAATATCTAAAAAAATTTGATAAATATTTAAAATTATTTTTTGTAAGTTTTTTATAAATTTAAATTGGTTGGAAATATTTAATAATATTTAAATTAATAGAAAATTTTTATAAATAATATTTCTTTATAGTTTTTTTAGAAACTATTCTTTATAAGAAATAACAAAATTATTATATTCAGAAATACTAATTTATCTTTTTTTTTTTATAATTCTTTTAATAAAAATCTAAATTAATTTTTTTTCCCATCTTCGTACATAATTTTCTCATAAACCTAGCTCGAATATCATCGTTTCCGCTCTCGCTCCCACGCCGCTCTCGCTTGTCGCTCCCATTATTGCTCCTACAGTCGCTCCCATTATTGCTCCTGCAGTCGCTCCCATGCCGATCCCGCTGCCGCTCCCTGCCACTCTCGCTCTCGCGCCGCTCCCCTGCCGCTCTTGCTCCCGCTCCCACGCTGTTCTTGCTCCTGTTGCCCACTCCCGCACCACTGTCATTGTTGTCCCATGCCGCTTTCACTACTGTCCAGTCCCGCTTCCATTGCTGTCCCGTGCTGCTTCCGCTACTGTCTTGCACCGCTTTCGCTGCTATCCTTTGCCGCTTCCGCACGCTTTGCCACTCATGTTTTCAAGAGCAGATGAAAACACAGTTGCAGACACAAACTGATATGCAAGTATTGATGCAAACACAAATGAAGACACAAGCAGAAATGCAAACACTCATGCAACAACAAATGCAAGAAGAAATGCAGTATTTCAAGAAAGATTTATTATCTGCCTTAAAGAAACAATGATGAAAACGTATTTTAAACTTTGTTTCTATTTTTAGTTGTGTTATATAGAATTTTTTAGTTGAAATATTATTTTTGTTATGTTTTAATTGTTTGAAACATCATTTTAACTATGTTTAAACAATATTTTTATATTGAAAGTTGATAAGTTTGTCTTCTTTTTTTAAGAATATGAGTAATAATTTAAATCTTAAATATTTGATATTATAATGTTATGATGATACATTAGCAGAAATATTTATTACACAAAAAAAATTATGAGAGATTAGTTACGGATTAGCTAGAGATTAACTACCGATTAGCAAGAGATTAGCTATGGACTAGCGAAAAAATAATTTTGATAAAAATTGTGAGGGATTAGCTATGAAATAGCGAGAGAAATGTTGCGAAGGATTAACTACGAATTAGCGAGGAAATAATTGCGAGGAATTAACCACATATTAGCTAGAGATAAATTGTCAGGGATTAGCTACAGATTAGCGAGAGAAAAATTGTGAGGGATTAACTACGAATTAGCGAGAGTGAAATTGCGAGGGATTAGTTACGGATTAGTGAGAGAAAAATTGCGAGAGATTAACTATGAATTAGCGAGGGCTAAGGTACGGATTAACGAGAGTGAAATTGCGAGGGATTAGCTACGGATTAGCGAGAGAAAAATTGCGAAAGATTAACTACGGATTAGTTAGATATAAAAAAATTTCATCATTTAAATTAGCGAGAGATTTAGTGACAGTTTAGCAACAAAATTTGCTGCAAATTTGAAAGAGAATACATCTGTATCTAATTAGCTACTTGGATTTAGCTACGGACTATTCCATAGCTTTTCCGTAGCTAATCTGTAGCAAAACATACCAGTGAGAGATTAACTATAAAATAGCTACAGAATGTGTCATAGCTAATATGTAAAATTCTTGTAATGATTACTGAAATCTAAAAGTGAACTTATGATGAAAACTTAACTTTATGTTTCTCAACCTTCGAAGGTCTATTTATAAAACAACAAAGGCATAAGAAACTATCATGACCCATTTGAGACCCTTAATTACAAAATAAAACTTAAACCAAAATATTGCAAAATTGAAATTTGATGAATTTGTTTAACTGATTGAAAATCGCTCAACGAATTTATAGTTAAATTAGTTACATAAGATTCTGACACATTCCGTTCAACGGATTAAAAAAGTGCTGAGCGGATATGAAAGAACTATGCAGATTATTGTTTTATCAGATGAAGAGCTCTGTGGACAAATTCTACTGAGCGGATAAAAAAGCGTTGAATGGATACTAATTTCTGAAAACGCTAAATGGATTATTGTGCACTCAGCAGATTTCATCTGAATTTATATTTTCTTTAATTTATCAATCCTACAAAGGTAAACAAATAATTAATTAAAATGTATAATTTAAATTAATAAATTATATATTTTTATTTTCCTTTTACAAAATTATATTAACTATTAATAATTAATTAATAAAATATATTAAATATATATAAATTATATTAATAAAATAATTGATAAAATAGGTTCATCAATTTTCGTTTAATACAAATCCCACTGTTGACAGGTATTAAAATGGATTTAATGGTAGAGGAAAAAGTTAACGCCAGTGATGAGTCAATATATGTTCATCATGCATGGTATGCTTGAGGCTTGATAAGTTTGTTCGAATGAGGCACTATTGCTTTGAGTGAAGAATTTTTGCAGATAGAGTTATTTATTTTATATGTTCTGTGTCAATGATAATTTCAGAGGCAACAAGGCATTGCTCCAACAATAACTTCTTATCTCTACCACTTAGAACGTAATATACTCATTTAGAAGACAATGTATAATAACGTAATATATTTATTATCATTTATTTCAAATAATATTATTATTATTCATTCATTGAGAATGTTAAATTTATAATTTAAATCATGTTGGGTGGTTTTCCATCTCAATCTCTTTATATTAGAGGAATATCTGAAGCTGATAGAGCCACGTATACATCAATGTAAATCACGTTATATCAGTCAATCCAAACAAACAAAACTCATGTATATTCGTGCTCTTCTTTAAAAACAAAAATATAAATCGATACAAATAAGGATAAAAGGTTTTTGGGTGTTACCATATAATTTTTATTTTATTTTTATTTTCTCTCAATTCTCACTCTGGAGATTGGTTGTTGCAACCTATACAATTTGTATGGACGAGAGAAACATAATAACATTTTAATACCAAAATTTCAATAAATTTGAAAACAAAAATTAACCTCAATAAATTAATGAACAATAATTCAAAATTAATATTTGATTAATCATTATATTAAATTTCAAACAAGAATTAGAGTCACTCAAGATACATAAATTAAATTTAAAATATATAAATTAAACTCATAAAATACAAGCATCAACAATTTAACAAAAAAAAAACATTTACAAACATGCATCCAATAATATATTTAATATAAATTTTAAATATAACAAATATATAAAGATTCTACATTTTTAAACTTCATAACATGAAATAATTACATTTCATTATAAATTAAGAAAAATATTTTACTAATTTTAAAAATTTTTAATTATTTTCTATGTGATAAATTAATAAATATATCTTCCTAAAATTATTATTCATATAATTTTGTATCCTAAATTCCTAATTCTAAATTAAAACCCTAATTACATATTAAATTCTAAATTAATTTCTCAATTGTAAACTAAATATAATTTTAGATTAAATCTCCAATTCAAAATTATATATCTAATCCTAATGGTATATTAAATTTATAGTTCCATAATAAACCTCCCATTCAAAATTAAATCCTAATCCCTAATTATTAATTCTAAGCTAAATAAAAAAAATAACTCAATTAAAAAGTAGCAACAATGACATCTGTTGTAAAATCTATTTCTTGATCTGTCATTGTTGCTACACACCTGTTTTGAGTCATGCTAATTTTTGCAACGGCCTCTTTCTCAATTTGTTCCACGTTTTCCCATATTAATATAATACTCTTTATATATTTTCTTAAAACTGATATTGAACATTAATATAGAATAATTTTAAAATTTTATAATGTGTAAATTTATTCAATTTATATCCTTTATATAATCTGAAACTAATCATGCAAAATTAAATAATATATAATAAGTAATATTTTACTTTTCTATGAAATGAAAATTTAAATATGTATATTTTAATACCTTTTACGGTTAAAGTATGTATATCGATCAAATCAATATAATACGATAATTTTTATTTTACAAAGTTATACATTTCCACCTAAACAATATAATTACTTTTAAACTTTAAATAAAAATAAAAATTAACAATTTAGTTGGACTTTTTCGTAGTTCTTATTATCAACTTTAACTTATAAATAGATTGTATAGAGAAAAAAGTTAGCCGAGTTTTGGATAAGACTAACTAGAACCATTGGATGCCAAATTTTGAGATGCTAAATTTGTAAGTGCGTCCTTATTCATGCCACTTTTGAAGGGTCACCATTATTATTTAAGAATGTGGCTTCTATATAAGTGATTAGCTCACCAAACATTATGCAACAAGGCAAACAACAATCTTGATTTTAATTGGTAGAGGCTTGCCAAGGTCTTGTTAATTATGAGCTTGAACTAGGAAATCTAAAGACCTTGGACAACCTTGCCACACAAAAACATAAAAAAGCCAAAAAGGGAAAACCCTAACCACAAGCCATGACAGGAATAGTGGTTAGAAGAGCAGCAAAGGTTGCCTTCACCCTGTTGGTCACTTTGGCCATTACCATCCCATGCCTTGAAGCTGGTATTGGTGAGCTTGATGAGTTTTTGAAAACTCAAGCTGAGGAAGCCCACAAAATTGCTCTGGAGTCATATGTCCCAACACCCCAATTTGTCACCAATGAACTTAATTACCATGTTCACTTGTAAGTACTTTCCAACTCTTATATCTACTCTTTTCCTTCATTGCAATATATATGTATATGCATGATACTCAATGAATCACATATAGAATCTATCCAAATTCAAATTGGCTAGTATGATGAGATGCATATATATATATATATATATATATATATATATATATATATATATATATATATATATATATATATATATATATATATATCATATTTATCATTTTTCTTTCTTTCTGTCTCGATTTTTAAAGATGGTATTTTTATTAAAAAATCATATGTTTCTTTTGGAAAACTTTCAATCCCTAAAGAATGGCCATTTCACATTTACTTGCATTTTAATAACAAACAACTAATTACTTCATTTTAAAAATAAGCTAATATAATAAGACAGACTTAGATTATAGTGGAGTACTAAATAACTCATGTACATGTAATATTTAACTCACCCTTCTCATGAACTAACAATCTTAAAAGCTTAAATAGTGATAGGTTTGAGAATTTAAAGTAGATTTTACCATCTTATATATTATATATTTAAATTGATTGATTTTGATAATAATTATATTATTAAACCTGAAGCTTATGCGGAGTTAAGAGGGCTTATAACCTCTCTAAAGTTTTGTTACTTCTATGTACATATATTATTTTGGCTATTATTAAATATACTTACAATTTTAACCTATATATGATATTTTCATATATTTTTCACTCTTTTCATATTTATTTATTAATTATTAATAATATATTATTTATCTTCTCTAAAATAATGGATCAATCGAGTAAAATAGTATGATCTATTGACTTTATATACATGAAAATAAAACTCATGATGATAAAGCAACACCAAACTAGTTAAATTAAGTTATGAAAGACAATTAGAAACAAAAACTATGATATATTATTTTATTATATAATATTTAATAAAAGAAAAACTTAGTAAAAATATGTTTGTGATTTTAAAGGTATGTATTTATTTTTTTCTTATTTTCGTATAACATTTCTAAAATAATTTGATGTAATATAATAGGTCAATGGAAAACAGCACAAGGAGAGAACTAATGCAAGGTAAAGTCAATAGAAAGAAGTGTGAGAGTACAAACCCTATTGACAATTGTTGGAGGTGCCGCAGACACTGGGCCAGTGACCGATACCAATTAGCAAAATGTGGAAAAGGATTCGGAAGAAGCACAGTTGGAGGACTCGGTGGGCCCATTTATGTCGTCACCGATAATTCTGATGATGACATGGTGGACCCTAGGCCAGGAACACTCCGATTCGCAGTGACCCAACAGGGTCCCTTATGGATCATCTTCGCACATAGCATGATCATCAATTTGAAGCAAGAGTTGTTAATTTCCTCAGACAAGACCATCGATGGTCGTGGAGCCAATGTGCAAATTAGGGACGGCGCTGGCCTCACTATTCAATACGTGAACAATGTCATTATTCACGGGATTCGCATCAAGAACATTGTGCCTAAAGAAGGTGGCTTGATCAAGGATTCCTACAACCACATTTCACTGCGAACCAGAAGTGATGGTGATGCCATCTCCATTTTCGGAGCCTCCAACATTTGGATAGATCATATTTCCCTCTCTAATAGTGCTGATGGTCTTGTCGACGTCATCCAAGGCTCCACTGCCATCACTATCTCAAATTGCCACATGACCAAACATAACAATGTGAGTACACTTTCATTGTTACATAACAACATTCTTAGACATTAATTTGATCCTTCAAGAGTTTACTACACATGTTTTTATACTTATAATATCTTTTGTGGGATTCAACACCAATTTCCTAATCGAGACTAAGGAGTTAAAGGCTTAAATTCCTAAATATGATACTTTTACTCAAATGAAATAGTACCATTTTGTCCAGACTAAGGGATACAAATGAATTAGTCCTTAGAGGTGGCTTGAGTTCTTATTTCACTTGAATTTGTTGCATTGTTAGGTATAATGCTAGCCTTATGTGTCTTGAGCCTTTGCTCCTCTTAAGTCTATTGCATTGTTAAGTTTAATGCGCGGAAGATATATATTCACTTGGTATAGTAAGTATAATGTTTATAAACACTCTTAAATTTTGATAAAGAATGTGAGACTTATTGTGGGATGAATAATGTAACACTAGGACATGCATGCATGGATGGATTTTTGGTGAGCTAAAGCATGTGATTATTGCAGGTGATGTTGTTTGGGGCTAGTGACACCTTCAATGGAGACAAGATCATGCAGGTGACAGTGGCATTCAACCACTTCGGGCAAGGACTAGTCCAGAGGATGCCAAGGTGCAGATGGGGATTCTTTCATGTTTTAAACAACGACTACACTCATTGGAACATGTATGCAATAGGTGGAAGTGCAGGACCAACAATTTTGAGCCAAGGAAATCGTTTCATTGCCCCCCACAACGATGCTGCAAAGGAGATCACACACAGGATCAATGCAGAACCAGAAGTGTGGAAGAATTGGCAATGGCAGTCAGATAAGGACCTTTTAATGAACGGTGCAACCTTCAACACTTCAGGGGCACCAATCCAGATAAAAAACAAAAAAGGTCTCATAATGAAGCCAAGAGATGGCAGACATGCCAGTAGGCTGACACGATATTCTGGCGCCCTAAACTGCCGCATTGGCAAGCCTTGCTAGAGAAAATATATATTCTTTTTTGTTGTGTTTACTATCATTAAAATTAATACCTTCATAGGCTTGAGTCTTCTACAACAAGCATTGTTGTTTGCCTTGTAAGAATGAGAAAGTGTGAGAATCTTTTGCTCGGCATTTAAATTTCAAGAAATAAAGTTTCTTAAATTAAGTGCAAAATTTGTTGGGATTTGGTTCACTATAACTTATGTCTAGTGCTTTTGTTCTTCGATCCCACCTCTGTTTCAAAATAATATATGACGTTTTGATGGACAAATTTTGTTTCTGAATATATGACGCTTAAGGTTACATTAATTATTTTTTACCAAGTATACCCTTATTTTTAAAAAGTTTAAAAAGAATTTAAATACTGATTTTATGGGACTTTAAATAAATTATAATTTCCACCTTATTGATATATTATGAAGCTAGATTGGAATTTATATAAACCGGTAAAAATATAAGCTGACATCAAGAAGACGGTGAATTAATCTTTTAAATATTTTTACAACTTTTCTTTCAGGTTAACAATTTTTAAGATTAAATAAAATTAATCTTATCTTGAACCAAAAAATAACAATTTCAAATACAAGAATATGATGGAAAAGAAAGACAAGAACCATAGGGTTACATACATTTCTCAACCAAATCTAGTTGAGTTTTACTAATCAAAGTTAATTGATCATAAGCATAGACTAGTAGAATAACAATTTATTCCAAGAACTACAAACTAGTTCTTGAACCTATAAACCAATATCCACAATTCCAATTGTGACACCAATGTCCAAACTTCTAAATACCGAAAATACAATAAATAAAATTAAAATTTACAATGCTTGAGCGAAAGTATTTGAGCGAAATTTTTAGTTTGAACGAAGAGAAAACAGAGAGAAACAATGTAAATTCGCTTGAGCGAATTTCAATGAATTTTGACTGTTAACATGATGCTCAAATGCAATTCAATGATAAATTAATAACTCAAAAAGTTTTCACATAAATTCAGTTTAACATTGTTCAAATTTGTTCATACTCAAATGATAATGCAATAAAAATTTAAATTACAAAAAGAAAAGAAAACAAATGGAAAATACTGGGTTGCCTCCCAGGAGCGCTTGTTTAACGTCTTCAACTCGACGCCTGTTTGCTTTATGGCTCATGCAGGTGAGTGATCAAGGTGATCTATACGCATTCTCCATCCCTTGACTGTCCTTGTGGGAATGAATTTATTATTTTTATTACGAATAACTGTCATCCCACCTTTCTTAGGAACAACCTGTACAAGACTCACCTTGCGACTATCAGAGATGGGGTAAATCCTACCTGCTTCAGGAGGTTTCAGTACCTCTTTTTGAACAACTTCCTTCATAATCAGATTAAGATGTCTTTGGGGTTGTGCAACAAACTTGTAATCTTACTTTTTAGTTGAGATGAGTAACTCCTCCAAAGTATCTACTCTGAGGTAATCTTTCTTGTCTTTCGGTTGTTGTACAACTTCAAACAGATTAAAATTAACTTCATTATTGCCACTTCTAACTTTCAACTTGCCCTTGTCAACATCTATAATTACTTTGACAGTTTTCATAAATGGCCTTCCCAGGATCAATGGGACTTCTGCATTTTCCTCCATATCCATCACAACAAAATCAATTGGGAACACAGATTTATCAACTCTCATCAAGACGTCCTTCGCCACACCATAAGGGAATTTCAGAGACCTGTCAGCTAGCTGAAGTGTCATTCTTGTAGGCTTTACTTCCAAGTCTCATATTCTTTTAAGCATAGATAAAGACATTAGATTTATGCTGGCACCCAAATCAAGTAATGTCTTACCTACTTGCAATGTTCTAATTGTGACTGGTATAGTGAAACTGTTAGGATCCTTGGACTTTTTAGGTAATGATTTTTGGAATATGGCACTGCACCTTGCTTCTAAATCCACTATTTCATCAGTAAATCTTCTTTTCTTGGTTAAGAGCTCTTTCATGAATTTGGCGTATGTTGGCATTTGCTCCATAGCTTCCAAAAATGGTATATTGACTTGCAGCCTATTGAATATGTCCATAAACCTGGTGATCAATTGCCTTTCTTTGTCTATCTATGAAGGAACCTTGAGATATGGTAACTTCTTTACAAATGGTTTTTGACTCCCTCCTTTTTCTATCTTTTGTTATTTTTCTCTCTCTTCGTTCTTCTGATTAGGGATATGTCTTTTTTTATTATTCTCATTTTCTCTCCACCTTCAATTTCTCCTTCTTCATCTTCTTTTCTAAAAACTTCTTCTTCAACAGCTAGATTATCACTAATCCCCTTACCTACAACTTTTTCACTCCTTATAGTTATTGAATTGCATTGCTCCCTGGGGTTGGTTTGTGTGTTGGTTGGAAACTGTTCTCCTTGCTACTTAGAGAGTTGTTTAGTCAATTGGTCTATCTGGGTCTCTACATTTCTGAATGAAGCGTCAATATTTTTCTGACTAGACAAAGTAGCTTGCATGAATTTTTCTAAACTGTCCTCCAATTTGCTCATTCTGTCATGCACTGGAGGATAATGTTGTTGCTGATGTTGATATGGAGGTTGTTGATATGAGTGTTGTTGATATAGAGATGGTCTATTGGATGAACTAGCACCTTGTTTCCACCCAAAGTTCTGATTCTGATTCCCTCTCCATCCTTGTGAAAAATTATTCTGATAGTTGTTGAAACTAGGGAAATTTACTTGTCATCCTTGACCACTACCACTTTGAGCACTCATATAATGAACTTCTTCTTCTTGTAGGTTGCCTTGATAAGAGCAGTGTCCATTTGAATGATCACCTCCACACACATCATAAGTCATCTGTTGGCTAGGAGTGGATTGTACTACATGCATTTGTTGAGGGAGTTTCTCTATTTTCTGGTTCAATGCTTCAATATAATGGGTTATAAGTTTATTTTGGGCTAAAAGAGCATCTGATGTGCTAAGTTCAAGGACTCCTTTCATTTGAACTGGATGTCTATCATGTTGGGCCTGTTGGTCTGTAGAGGCTAGTGCATCAATAATTCTTGTGGCATGTTCGATGTCTACATCTAGCATAGATCCTCCTGCTGCAGCATCTAATAACATCTTTGTATCAGGTCGTAGGCCAGTATAGAAAATATTCAACTGAGCAATGTCTTCAAATCCATGATTTGGACATCTTCTCAACAATGATTTAAATTTCTCCCATGCTTCACAAAAAGGTTTATTTGCTCCTTGTCTGAAAGTAGAGATGTCAGATTTTGCCTTGATGTAGCGGGATGGTGGAAAAAATCTGTTCAGGAACTTCTCTTCTACATTACCCCAGTTAGTCAAACTCTGATTAGGATGTGCCTTCAGCTACTCCTTTGCCCTGTCAGCCAAAGAAAAAGGAAATAATCTCAAGTATGCAGATTCAATATCTGCTTCTCTAAATCCCATGGTACCAATCAACTCATAAAAAGTAGACAAGTGAATGTATGGATCTTCATGATCCATTCTAGTAATTGATGAGCACTAATCAAACTTAAGAAAGCTAGCTTTATCTCCAATGTTTGGTTGACTAGTATTGCAATGCTGGAGAAGTGTCTCGGACCTTGCTGCATAACATAATCTCTGAGTGTTCTTCTAGGTTGATTTGGATTGAGATTTAGATTTGTTCCTTCTTCCGCCATGTCTTCTATGATTGGATCTAGTAAGTTAAGTGTCAGAGAAGGGTTAACAGATTCTCCTGTTGCTTGTTCTTGAGTTTCTCTTCTTCTACCCCGGTTTCTACGAGCAGTCTTTTCAATCTCAGGATCAAATTCTAACTGATATATAGATACTTATCCTCTTAAAAGCATAAATCAAAGAGCAACTTAAACAAGAATTAGCACAAGATAACAATAATAAAAAAAAAAAGAGCATATAGTATATTAAGGCCAAATCACCTCCATTCAAAAGAGCATGATTGTTCCCCATGGGTGTTAACTGCCATGCAATGATGAAGGCAAGTAGTCTTGGTTCCAACTTCATTTTTCCAGCATTGAGAGTTGTTAGGGAATCCTTTTTGTCTTTGAGGCAAGATCAGAAGAACTGAATTCTATTAAAATCTTCAATTTCTGAGACATTTCCTTTTGATACCTTCACACCTTCATCTTTCAAACCAGCAACTTGTTTCCAAATGGTAAGAGTAACCACAATATTTACTCCTTTGACCTGAGAGAAAATGGTGGAGTCATCTACTGATAGATTTGTATAGAAGAATCTTACCAAGTTCGGTTGAATTAACCCATGAAGCTCCAAAAAGGTCTTCAATTTCTGGTGTTATAGCCGTTGACATTGATCAGAGAAGTCTTCTCTATCCAACCAGTTAAACTGAAGATATTTTGGCATGACTAGTTGTTTATTACTGAAATCAACAATGAATTGGTTCATCTTACCTAGGTCACCATTGAACCATGTTTCCAAATGAACATAGAGATTACTTCAGTAGCTTGGGAAGATGATTCTCCCTTGCTCTTCTTTCTGCCAAATTTAGATCTTTTGAACATATTTGTGAGTATTGTAATAGAGACTTGTGAAGGCAGTAGAGTAAGAAAGATTGAAGTTTCCCAAAAGTGAGTGAGTGATGATATCTGAGTTTATGCCTTGAATTGTTATAAAATCACTTAACTTATGTTAATTCTAATATATTTTTCTCCCAATATAGGATGAATTTGAGAATACCTTGATACAAGAGTAAGGAACATAATTGTCAGCATAATTGGAGTAAAATTGAAAGAAAGAAGAGCGCTTAAGCGAATGAATGATGCAAGGTCCGACCCAAATTCTCTTATAAAAAGATAAGTTGTGTTTTGAGAAAAGCAAGCAGTCTTGGAGAGGAGAAGACACAACTACTGTTAGGGTTTTGTCCAATCTTCATCAATTCTACTTCATCAATTGGAGCATTGTAATGACCAACATGAGTGGCTAACTTCATTCTCTTAGGATTCGGTGCACTTCCTTTGAACTTTTTTGTATCATGGTGATAT